GGCCACTAGGCAGAAGAGCAGGATTGAGTATTGTGGCATAGTTGGGGGACTTTGGGGCTTTGGACAGTTCCCAGTCTCCTCTTCTGCTAGAGGAAGGAATTGGTTATTGTTCCACTTCCCTCTCTCTCACTAGCTTACAGTAATACTAATTATAGTCAGACACACAAATTACTTAGTATTTATGTATAATTACTATGTAGCACAATAATAGTTATGCATATCATTAATTACATAGTAGATTAATTGTGTTGTAAGTTGCATTTGATTACTTCATTAGACTCCTGTGGTCAGTATGACCAAGTTATTTCACTTATTTAGACCTCAGTTTCCTCATTTGTAAAATGAGGGGGTTGTACTATACAATCTTTAATGTTCTTTTCAGCTCTATATTTTATGACTCAGTTAATTTCTTTTATAGCCTGATAGTCCACCTACAACTTAAAGTAATAAGAGGGAGTGTTGGACATCATTCTTAGACAAACAACACAAATCACATGTCTCACTAATAAGTCATTAATCATCTTTATTAACTGCCTCAATTTTCTCTTTTGCTTTGGATACGTCAATAATAACCTCTGTTGATAGATCCAGGGCTAAAGAATCCTTTTCTGTGAATTTTATCAACATTGAAGGTCAGACCTTTATGTAAAAGAAAAATTAAAGTACATTCTTAATACTGAAGAACTTCTACTTACCTTTGCTTTACACTATGAAAAACTTGTATTGTCTTCATTGCCAACAGCTGAACAAATATGGAATATATCAATGGAGTTTTGAAAATATGCCTAGGTATCCATGTGTTATACCAAAGTCTCAGTGCAGTTTTGAGCTTTATTATATGCATAAACTCCCTTCTTCCCTCTTATACCTCCTGTAAAGGACAGAGTCTTTCTGCTTTCACTAATTTGCAGGATTGTGGAATACCTTACATAAACGTGACCTTATTAGCATTATTGTGGTAATTGTTATCCAGAGTTCCATTTTCCCTGTCTATTACTCACCCCTCCAATATTTTAATATGACATAAAAGTATTTTTTCCCATTCAGAGTTGTCCCTCTATCATTGTGGTGGTTGTGATGGTTGGGTCCTAGTGTCTGGGAGGCTTGGAGGTAAATTGAAAGATAGCTTTTTGGGGGGGGAGTTCTTTTTTTTAAAAAATCAATAATATTTTTCCAATTATATGTAAAGATAGTTGTTAACATTCATTTTTATAAGATTTTGAGTTTCAAATTTTTCTTCCTCCCTCTTTCCCTCCCCTGCCCCTTCCCAAGACAGCAAGCAATCTGATATAGGTTATACATGTTTAATCATGTTTTATTTCCACATTAGTAATGTTGTAAAAGAAGAATCAGAACAAAAGGGAAAAACCACAAGAAAGAAAAAAACAAAAAAATCAAAAATAGTATGCTTCTATGTGCATTCAGACTCCATAGTCCTTTCTCTGGATGCAGAGAGCATTTTCCATCATGAGTCTTTTGGAATTGTCTTGGATCATTGTATTGCTGAGAAGAGCTAAGTCTATCATAGTTGATCATTGCACAATGTTGCTGTTATTGTGTACTATGTTTTCCTGTTTCTTCTCACTTCACTCAGCATTAGTTCATGTGAGTGTGAAAGATAGTTTTATAATAGTTAGTGAAGATATTGTATTCATGTGTGCTGTAGTGGTTACATTATCCTTGTAAGCATCCACAAAAATTTCAGTGACTACAGGATTCAATGGTGTTTACATAATTCAGGTTAGACCACATTATAAGTGTACAATCAAGTGGAGTGGCAAGGCTGGCAAAGAGATATTCCCTTTCTCTACTGGCTGTTGAACATGTATTTCCTAAATCATGTTTCTCATGCTCATGAACAAAGATATGAAGACAAGGGAAGCAATGAGTGCTACTTCATACCAGCTTTGGGAAGTGTAGCAGTCTATTTAGAGAAGGGAATAGTCAGCTCATTTACCTTAGAAATCCAACCCTTGTGGTGAAAAAACATGGAGGTCTCTTTCACATTGGGCAGTCACCTCCTACCCCCCCCTTTGCCTTTTTCCAATTCCATAGGGATTCCTTTCTATATCAATGGACTAAGCACAGCCTAACTGCATCACTAACTGCATCACTTTCACTTTTCAAGGATAGTTCCTCTAAATCTGCAGTTTACTGATCCAGTTTCTAACAACTTTATGATGGTTAAAATCTATTTGACTTTCAACAATTTAGACAATCTATATAGAATTGAAAACTGAATAAAGACCTTAGTCCAAATCTTGCTGCATAACCCTACTTTTAAAAAACGGTATCTTTTGTTTTCATATCACTTTTATTTTCAAATATATTTATTCTCCATTACCTATCCAGAGAGCTATCTATACATAGCAATGTATATTTGAAGATTTAAAGAAAGAGAAGATAGCTCGGCTTGTGCTGCAATTTTTTTTTTTTTTTTTTTTGGTGAGGCAATCAGTGTTAAATGACTTGCCTAGGGTCACAGGGCTAGTAAGTGTCAAGTGTCTGAAGACAGATTTAAATTCAGGTCCTCTTAACTCCAAGGCCAGAGCTCTATCCATTGTGCCACCTATCTGCCCCTTTGCTAAAATATTTTAAACAAGAATAATAACATTTTTATCATATAATCAGTATAGACTTAATTTTAGTATGAGATTCAGTAATTTTTTATTTTTAAATTTAAAAAATTGCTTTTTATAATTGTTTTATTATTTTTAATAAATGAGTTAGAAATATATTTTTTATCCCTTGCTATTATATTATTAAACAAAATACTTATTTAAAAAAATTTCCATTGCATATTTCCATTGGACTGGAACCAATTACCCTATTTTACATTTAATTATAACTTAGAATGGTGTAAATTTGAATTATGTGACCACTTCACAGGATTTATAATTCAAACTAATTAGGACCTAGCTATATACTTTGACCACGTATGTACTGGAGAATGACTCTTGGTTTTACATATTTGTGTTAATTTTCTATTTGCCTTGGACATTAAACTATTATCAGAGATGCTTGATACAAAGATTCCTCCCCCCACCCTATCTACAGTTTTCCCTTGTATTTTAGTATGGATTTTGTTGAGGCAAGAGCTTTTCAAATTCATGTAATAAAATTATCTATTTTATATTTTGTGATTGCCTGTATCCCTTATTTTGTTATGACCTCTCTCACTAGTTGTAGATGTGAAAGGTACTTCTAAATGTTTTTTTATAGTGTGACCTTAAATATTTAGGTCAGATAACCACTTTGAGATTGAGACTACTATGGTATATTATGTTACCTATTGTCTATAATTAATTTTTGACAAATTACTCTCCAGTTTTTCTAGCAGTTCTTGTGAAATAGGGAGCTCTTCCACTAGTAGTCTATGTTCTCAGGTTTATTGAATTTGGGTCATTGTATTCAATTTCTTCTTGATTCTTCCTTATCTAGTCTGTTCAAATGATTTGCTTTTTCTATTTTTTAACTAGAGTTTTGATGATTATGGTTTTATAATATAATTTCAGGCCTGATATAGCTATTCTGTCTTCATTCCTACTTTTTTTTTTCGTTATTTCCCATGAGATTCTAGACCTTTTGTTCTCTAAATGAATTTTGTGATATTTTATTTAGATTCATACAATAATCCCTTGGTATATTGATTCATAGAACACCAAATCCATAAATTAATTTTGGAAGTATTATTATTTGTATTATATTGGCATGGCCTGACCTGACCACGAACAATAAACAGCCCTTCAAACTCTACTCATGTGTTCTTTATTACTTAAAGAATGTTTTGTAATTTTTTTTTATGTATAATCTACTTGAGATGATTGCACATCAAAAGTGACCACAAATCCTCACCAAACTGTATTCTTCCTGATAATGGGTTGTGTACTTAAAAAACTTAAAGGTTAGGGTAGGCATCAATACCAATTTCTAGGGCTCTGGGTTTATAGGCTTCAAATAGGAAAATTGTGCCAGAAGCAACCACTCAATGGATTGGAACCACAGGAGGAATTTTCTTAAATTTAGCAGCAACAACAATAGCTAGCATTTATACATCACATTTAAGGTTTACAAAGTGCTTTACAAATACGATCTTATTTTGTCCTCACAACAACCCTGTGAGGTATATGATATTATTATATACCGATTTTACAGCTGATCACACTGGGGTTTAGATATGTTAAGTGACTTACCCATGGTCATATAGCTAGTAAATGTCTGAGGCAGGATTTGAACTCAGGGCTTCTTGGTTCCAGATCCACTATACGACCAAGCTGTCTCTTAACAGTGTGATCCTTGAGTAACCTTAGAATTAGAATGTTAGATCTCAAATGAGCCTAAGAGATGTCTTAGTCCAGAAGCAATGTGGCATAGTGGAAAGAGTGCCGGACTTGTAGTCAGATAAGACCTGGGTTCATATACCACCTCTTATACTTACTAGTGGCATGACTATGGGTAAGTCATTTAAATTCTATGTGTCTCAATTTTTTGATCTTTAAAAGGTGGACAATAATACCAATAATATCTTTCCTCACAGAGTTTTGAAGGTCAAATAAGATAACACAATGAAAGACTTTATAAACCTCAAACACTATATAAATCTCAGCAATTATCATTATCAGTGGCTCTTTTTATGAGATTAAAAATGGAACCACTGAATCATTTGGAATAGAAATTCATTAAAGACTGAGACTTGGAAGATGTTGCCATTTTATACACACATTTAAAAAATGCGTGTATAAACATTTTTTGCCAATCAATTTAACTGATATTTGTACAGGTAAGTTGAAACATTATAGTCACTTTTTGGGAAGGTTTGGTGAAACTTTCTAAGGTAAAATTTCCTGCTAACAATCATTGATATTTACATAATGCTTTATATAAATAATCCTTGTGTTAGGGGCTTTCTTCTTCACTTAATATACCACTTTTCTGAATCATTTTCCTCCACCCAACAGGAACCAGGGAGTTTCAGTATGTATCTCATTTGTGACCATCCAGGTGATTCTTGTGCCCATCAGTATATTTCACTGTCTTCTCATTAAGGGCGGCCATCAGCTGCCCTTACAAGTCCTTAAGTTCACAATCCATCAAGCATAGAACAGGTTTTATTTACAAGGTGAAGAAGATAGATAGAAAGGATTTGTACCTAAGCACACAGAGTCAAAAGGGTCTCCCTCCCCAGAGGCATCTCTTCCTTCCTCCTACTCAGTAGAGACCTGTCTTCATGACTCATAGTGCGGCTCCAGCAAGGGTGAGGAGTAAGGTCCAGGACTTTCCACAATAACTCAATTTCTCATTTATTCGCTGTAAGGTTCCATCTCCCACCAGGTATTGTGGGCTCTTTTCCTTCCAAAGATGTAGTTGCTCCTTCTTCCAGGAAATAGTGTCTGGTCTTTTATGGTTGGACCAAGAGAATGAAAATGTTATAATTTTTTTACACCGAGGTTTGAATGGATCCAGGCTGTTTATTTTTTCTGTTCCTTAATACTGCATCCCACTTCCCTACTTTGCAAACAAAGGGCTTCTTTAGACACTTCAGAAATTGCTTACTCACCTTTCTGTCTGAGGCTCTGTTTTCCATTGTTGACTGAGGCACAGTGAGTCTGTATGATTCTCAGGTGGGGTGGCCTTTGCTCACTTAGCATAAGCCACTGAATCTTGGAGTTCAGAGGAGCTCCTCCAATCTGTTCACTTGTCTTTATATTTGTCATCTTCCTCTGAGAGTAAAAGGGAGGGTCAGATAGCACTGGAACTACATCAGAAAAACTGGGAAAGGAGCAGAATCAGGGATGGTTCCTGGTTCAAGGATCTGTGAACCATAAGGGAGGGGGAAGCAATCTTATACTACCCAATTATCTCATTTGAACCTAACCCAGGGAAATAATTAGTCACATTTTACGTGTGAGAAAATTGAGGCTGACAAGGTTCAGATGGCTTGTCTAGAGTTATCCAGTCAGAGCCTAGACTATGGACCAAGGAGTTTTCCTACTCAAAGTCCAGTCTTCTTCCTAATATACCACACCACCTCTCTAGATGCAAGTAAAGCCTAATGAAAATAATAGTAAGTCACATACTTAGAGTGCTTTACAGTTTACATATTACTGTGATTTACCATAGTGTTTTAAAGTTTAGATTTTATAGAGGAAGAGCCTCCCTCACTATAGCTCTGAGAAGCAATAGTCCAAGTATTATTTCCTCCATTATGCCATTGAATAAACAGAGGCTTTGAGCTAAAGAACCTGCCTAACATTACACGGCTAACAGGAGTAAAAATCTAGATGCACAGAAACTTTGGGCCTATCTGGCTCATGTCACACTTGAACAAGAATTCTCTTTATAATATACCAGACAAGGGGTTAATCTACCTCTGTTTGAAACCATTGGGGGTGGGGCACATTCATGTCGATCATATTTAGAACTAGAATGGGCCTTAGAGGCCCGCTAGTCCAACCCACTCCTTTTATTGATGAGGAAATTTTCTTTCAGTGAAGATAAGTGACTTGGCAAAGATCACACAAATAGTTGAGCTAAGGATTTGAATCTAGGTCTTTTGATTCTCAATACAACCCTCTTTCCACTGCATCACTTAGATTTGATTACATGTTCTAGCATTTTCATAGCTTTTTGGATACTTACTCCATCACATCATGTATTAGCTATTCCTCCTGGCTTTGTTTCATCTGCAAATTTATAGCATGTTATCCATGCCTTTATCCAAGTCACTGATACAAATGTAGAACAACACAGTGCTAAGCATAGGTTTCTGGGTTGTTCTGCTAGAGACTTTCTGACTTGATATATCATTAATGACTATTGTTTGGGTTTGGCCATTTAACTGGCTCTGAATAACAACAATGATAATGATAATAACAATAATAACATTTATATAGCACTGCACATATGCTATATTATGTGATCCTCACAACCCTGTTCAGTAGGTACTGTTATTATGCCCATTTTACAGATGAAAAAGCTGACTGAAGGAGTTTCACACAACTAATAAGTGTCTGAGCCAGGATTTGAAGTTGAGCCAGGATTTGAAGTCACCTTCCTGATTCCAAGTCTAGTGCTCTTGCCTGCTGTACCATCTCACTCCCACTGGCTACACTATGCATTTCCATCTTTTTTTACAAGAAGAGGATGAAAGATTTCATCAAATACTTTGCTTAAATCCAGGTAAACTCTCAACATTCCTCTATTCTACCAATTTAGTAACCCTGTCAAAAAAAGGAAATGAAGTTATTCTGTTGTGATTCTTTGTTGATAAAACCATGCTGGCTCTTCACAATCAATGATTCCTTTTTGTGATGATCACAAGCAACTGAAAAAAAAAGCATATTCCAGAATTTTGCTAAGACTAGAAGTCAAGCTCACTGGCTCTTACTTTGTAGATGACATTCTCTTCTCTTTTTTGAAAATCAGGACTCAAGTCCAGTCTCAGGTGCTGTGGCAGGTCCCTCATTCTCCACTATCTTTCAAAGGTCTCTTTTGATAATCACATAAGAAAGTTCTTTCATTGCTATGGTATATAATTCATTTTTGACCTGGTGACAAACTCATTGAAGCAACAGGGGTCCTATCTTATTATCTTTTTTTTTTCTGCCTGATCTTAAGTTTCTTTCAATTCCTTCTTAACCATTCTTTCCTTGTCCTTTCTAGGTCAAAAATTATTTTCCTTGGTAGAGAAATTCAATGTAAAGTAAATGTTGAGTAGTTCTGCTTTCTGTCTCTCCTCCATTACCTTCCTACCTACCCCTCGAATCAGTCTTATCCTTTGTTTGTTCATCTGGTATTGCCTGATAAAGCTCTAATACACTACCAAATTAGGCTGATGTCAGGCCCTTTTTTTTTTCTTTCCCATGACAACTCTTTTAAAAGGTAGCATGATAAAGAACTAAGATAATAATTCTCAATCATTCAAGGGTTGGGGAGAAATTTTTACAACTCAAAAGGTACAATAAAGTCTTCTTTGGAAATCTGTATCATGTCTTCCTTTCCCAGGAAACTCATAGTTGGGTAAGGGTATTATGCTATAAGATTAAGTCTGATTGGTACTCATATCTCATCAGTGCCTTCCGACCCTCTGATTGGACCCTTTGTCTATTGGGCAGTGCCATGTGTTCCAGGGCCTCTATTTAAAGAGGAGACTCAGCAGAGTTTTTCTACCCTTTTCCCATTAGCCACCCAGTTTTCGGACTTCTTTGGAACTCTCCATCACGGGAGGGGTACCTTTCCTCCTCCTTTTTCAGTTTCCTTTTGTGTATTGTCTTCCTCTGTTAGATTATAAACTCCTTGAAGGCTGGCACATAATAAATGTTTATTAAACAATTACTTGAATACAATAGAAACTTAATAAATATTTGCCTAATTGACTTGAATTTCGTTGAGTAGTCCTGTCTTTTATACATGAAGATACCAATTAGTCAAAGCGTCTATTAAACGATTCTTATGTACCTGGCACTACTAAGCACTGGTGATACAAAGAAGGGGCAAAATGAGACAGTCTTTGCCCTCCAGGAACTCAGAGGCACCTTATTCTATCAAATACTATGTATGCACAGCAGGAAGAGAAAGAGGGTATGATCATCATTTCTCTAAGCACGGTGACTTAGCTAATGGTTAAAACCTCACCTCTCCACAAACTGAGAAAGGGAGTGGCATCATAGACACTCTCTTCGAGCACTGACGCCCGAGTTTGACTGGTAGGGGTTTGGCTGACAGAGGGGGGAGGCGGATTGACGCCATCTAAGCCAATCTGGGAAAAATCAGGGTAGGCGAACCTCAAATCAGGAATCTTTTCAGAGCAGTCATTTACCATTTGTACATCCTGGTCAGCGCCGTCCCCTTTGCAGGAAAGAGCAGCTGAGACTGAGAGGCTTCGAGCTAGAGGAATCAGCAGGCGCTCGCTCCGGGCAGGTACTCCCTCCAGAAACTGCTTCGGAAGGAGCTGGAGTGCGAGTGTGGACAGCTTGGGGGACTGTAGTCGGAGAAATTGAGTTTGTTTCTTTGTAGGGCGAGGGAAAAGCAAGCGAGGATCTGCAGGGGGCCTTGGAGCAAATCACAGTCATATCCATTTACCTTACCAGGGATAATAAGCCCCATTGCTTCCACCTTTAGCAGGCGAACACGCACACACGTGAGACCTGCACTTACACACACACACACACACACACACACACACACACACACACACACACA